ATTTGCTGTCTTTAACCTCTCCATTGCTGCACCCATTGTTCTATTTGCTCTAAGTTTCTTTCAAGGTCTTCTGATGTGTTGCTGGGTAATTCATGTACTATTTCTTTTTTGTAACTTTCTTTTGCTTCTTCTAATATTGTTTGGAAAATTTCACACTCAACATTATTTGTAAGCTTTTTTTCTGTATAACCTCTGTGGAATACAACATTTACAGTGTCAAATATAGCATAACAATTAATTTCTTTAACAAATTTTCAATCTAAAACTTAGCAAAAATAATTTTTCTTTCAAATGAGGATGATATGTGATGTTTCCTTCTATATTGACTCGCTCTAATCAACCATTCAGCACCCAAGAATTCAAACAACTATTTCATTCAACTATTTCAAGTTGTTTGAAAGCTTGATAATTAAAAAAAAAACTTATGTAAAAGAAGCAAATCTTAGTATTTAAACAATGAATCCTACATGTACGAACGATAACATTTTAACAAGTGCAATATGTTTTTTACCACATTTTCATTCTAAAAATTAGTAAAAATCATATTTCTTTCAACTGAGCACACATGTARGACAGTAATGAAGAAAAAAGCAGTGAAAGAARCCGAATGTCAAAAGCTGTCTGTCTGCCTTCACAGAATGTTCTGTTCACTTCTTCAATAGTGCAAATTGACATTTTTCAATTTCAATTTAATTTTAATTTTTAATTTCAAAAATGCATGAGTCAATTCAAACCATTCCTGCCCCCAAACCGTGGGTGATATTGTGGATAATTTCCTTTGATTTTGATATTAAATCCCCTGCCTGCCTGTTTATCGTTCCATTAAAACAGTGTTAAATCTCCTGCACTACAATGTGTTAGTTCCCCTGGCCCTCCCTTGGRGGATRTTTTATTGTCTGATGCATAAGATGTTGTAATACCTTTGCTGAAGTCTATCATAAAGAACTGTGTTGTCTGTCCTTAGTACAAATACAATGTCAAACCACCGTTCAGGAAAAAACTCACAGCCATGATAGTCAACAATATTTCCACCATCAGACATGATATCTTCCATTTCATCTATGACCTAGGAGCAATTGTTAATATTGATGTCAGCATGACACTTCGCCAAAATGGCTGATCCTCATGAGCATGGAGTAATGCTTGGGCTACCTTTGGTTTGTCCTTATAAATATTAAGATTTATRTTTATTTGAAGCACAAAATTAATCATTGTTTTTACTTTACAAGCTAAAGTATAGTTTAGTACTATTAGCTCAAAGCAGACGTGCTTTGCCGAACTGTACCTTGTCTTCGTCGAGAACATGGCACTCGAGTTCATCATCCCAGCCCTCAAATAAATCATTTTCTTTCGCTATTTCTCCGATATTAATGTAATTAAGTCCTGTTCTTTGTGATAGCTCAATTCCTGTGACGCTCTTTCCTGTCCCTGGGGTACCAGTTAGAAGAATATTTGGACGACTTCGACTTGCAGAAGCCATTTTGTCTTCGAATGCACATGGATGGGCAAGCAAAAAATGCTAGGCGTTGCTTGCAAAGTATCGCGCGAAAATCCACGTGCCCTATGGTGAAACAAAATAATATTGACTTCTCATAAAATAAAAGGAATCAAATGACTGAACATGTTTATTTAACTTTTATAATTATTTCCCTATGAATAAACGTATTTCACATCACAAAAAAATAAATTCTTCTTAAACATTGATTGGGCTTCCTGTTTTAAAATTTTGTACGCATGTAGTTTCATTACAAATTGCTGACCACTTGAGCCGGAAGTTGGTTGTCAAAATCGTTTGCAAGACGAAAGAGTGAGCCATAGTTTCTTGAGGATTTCTCTAATTTCTCTCACAGTTATGGAATCACTTGTTGGTAGTTTCAGTTCGTCATTTTCTGTTTCTTGTGAGCCAAATGATACAGCAGCTCCACATCCGAGGTAAACCAGAAATATGCAGAAGCAACATTTTATAATATTGTTAATATTTTTATTCTTATTTCTTATAAGCTTAATTTTTATTACCACTTAGGCTTGGTTATCATTGAAATTATTATTTATAGTTGGAAAATTCTAAGTTTGTATTTTAAAGAAGATTTCTATTATGATAATTATTTTTAATTATTATTATTATTGTTGTATTGTTGTTATTGTCATTTATAAGAATTAGTATGCTACAAAAGTATGAACATTAAGTTTGAAACTTAAGCTTMAAAAGTTAAAATCAGGCAAATAAATGTCAAAGTTCAAATGGCTTCGCTGCAAAGATGGATTGTTGTTTTTCCCTGAGTTAGAATGGGACAGTACAAAGAAAAACCCTCAAATACACCAGATCAGGAAACAAGAAGAAARAGAATGCTTGAATTACAGAAAAAGTAAGCTGTCTGCATATATCATCATGATATTATTATAATTGTGTTGACCATCAGGTGGTTGCTATGTCAAGGAAAGATGTCAGAGTTGTACAAGATCAGTTTTGAAATGTTTGTTCATGTTGACAGGCATGGTTGACATTTTAGGAACCACTGCGGGCAGGGGGCTACAAGGGGTCATACCTAATAGAGGTGTTGATATGCGAAGAAAAAGCCCCCTTGTCCCTGTTCTTTTTTAATTGTTGTTCTACATTGAATGTTTTTCACACTTATCAATTTTTTTTATAATTTATCAAGGTGTTGGTTATTTGTTGGATAGGGGTGTCAAAACATAAGATGTGAGTCTTGGAAATGATTTTTATTTCAGAAAAAGACTTGATGTTGTAAATTATTCAAGAAAACTTGCAGATGGAGACTTAACAGAGGATGATGTCTCCCATGACTCTGAGGTGTGTGAAAAAATAAACTTTTAGCTTATTTATCTCCTTCTGTGACAATTTCTTTTAATCCATGTTTCTTTTTCAAAAGCAGAAATTTCAAAATTAAAATTAATTAAAATTATTGAAAAAAAAACAAACAAGCATGCGCCTTTAAACCAACTGCTTCTTATACTCTTAGGAAATGGAGTCAACTAATTATAAAGAGAGGAGAAAAAGATTCAATCCTTATGCATATCAGGTATTATACCAATGTAATACAATACAAATTAGCATCGCGTTACCAAAATAACTCCAAGACAAAACGATTGAAAATGCTCTCTGTTCATTGGCTCAATAACCACGCAATTTTCAGTTTGATTTATTATGACTTGTGTAAGAGCTAGATTTTTGGAGAATTTATAGTAATACTGAGAAGTTTGGATTAAAATTTCTGTTCCCGCTGTGTAAAACAAACATATCACAAGCCTGATGTCCTGTCTGCAGTAAGTAGCATCATGAATGCTAATTTATGCAAATTAGTTTTAATCGGGCATTTTTACAAGTCTTCTCGTAGATAAGCCGCACCCCCGATTTGGAAACGATTTTTTTTGGAAAAAAAGTGTGGCTTATACATCCAATACAGTAATTCAACAGCAATTTCCTTTGCTAGCTCATTGGTTGAGATTCAAACACTCCACACAATACAATCAGCCTCGCTGGAAAGGCATTTTTCCAGATAATGAAGTTGACAGTTTTTATTTTCTGAAACAAGTTTGGCGGATTAAACATTTTAGTTTGGACCGATACCAGCTGCACAAATTTACATGTTAAGGTTGTCTGTTAAAAAAATATAGTTTACAGACATTGACAGATTAAAGGAATTTAGTTTTTTGGGAGATTTACCTTATTTTCAAGGGTTTTTCAAGTACCCTTGAACTGAGTTTAATTCAATTCCATGGCCTTTCATGGATTTCAAGGAGCGGCATGAACTTAGTATCTATTATTTATAAAATTGTTATGTTGCACCTTTGGCAAGCTAATTTTCCCCATTTTTTGATCCTACAAGGAGGGTCAGTAGTTTTGATCAGCAGTTTTCAATCAATATTTGTTAACTGAGTGTACATTGTAATTATGAAATAGCTGATGCTTTCTGAGTGGCTGGTTGATGTACCTGATAACCTGTCAGAAGAATGGCTAATGGTTATCTGTCCCTGTGGAAAAAGAAACCTCATCATTGCTTCAAATGTATGTAAAAATTGAATGAAGTGTGTTGTCCCGGGGGGTACTTGATGATGATTCCAACTTGGGTGGGGGTGTGCTGCATGATCCTCAAAACCCTTTACCCTATCCCAGACCAATTTGTGTGATTTTATACATGATACCCTTACCCCTGACTAAAGGTACAAAGGAACATTATTTTAGCAATGTAAGGGTGGCCTAGCAGATACAATCACATGCAAAACTCCACCCTACCCCAGACAATGAGACTATACCCTATCCTTAGACAAAAACTACCCTATCCCAGAAGACTACCCTATCCCAGACAAATGGGCAAAGAATGATACCCTATCCCAGACTTGGAGCTCCAAAAAAAGGACCCTATCGAGCTGCACATACCCGTATAGCAAATATAGGGGAGAGCCCCCCTCATTATTTGCTCTTACACTTATTTAGTCAATAAAATTCAGCAATAGTGAAATCGCTGAATTTTATCATCAATTTAATGTGTAGTAAGCCACTATTTATACTTCAAGTCATATTATGATTTATTTTGTACTCTTCATGAACATTCCCAACATCAAGATGTTTAGCATGACGAAATGATAGTTGAAAAAAAGAACTAAACAAATGTTATGTGATTGCGAATCTTGATTTGTTTTTTTTATGAATTATTGCAATCTGTTTTTGTTATAATTCTAGGGTAGAACATCGGTATACACAAAAAGTGGTTTTCGTGTAAATCAGTTTACATCGCTACTCCCTTGTGGTAGTCCCAGTACACTCAAACCTGGAGGTATAGGGTCTTCATTGGAACATTTATTCATATTCATATTATTTATTTTGAATGATTTAGATTTATTCACATTCTAAGTTACATTTAAAGTGTTTCAATGAACATTTTAAATGAATCATATACAACAAGTTGTTAGTACCTCTTTGACTTTGAAACTTGAATTAAAAAAAGAAAAAGAAATTAAGTAGATTACTATAGTGTTACACAGTGTTGCTTTCAGTATAGATTGAAGTACATTAAGTCATTTGATATGTCATTTATCATGTCCATCCCTCACACCAGGACCGAAATGGATTATTTTGTATTTTGATTTTAATTCCTAAATAGCAGCATCTACAGTTCTTTTCATGGACTCAGGTTTTTTGCTGAATTTTCATGTAGTACTACGTGTATGTTCAAGGCATGGTTTTAGCAACTAAATAGGATATGAGGCAGCTAGAAAATGCATTGACTATCCCCCTACAGGAGCAGTTCCAGCTGGTGGGTGCATGGGGTACACACCCCCTCCTGAGATCTGTATCCTTCATTACTTTCCATATTTTGCATCTTCAGTGGTAATGATTTTTTTGTGGGGTGCACCCCCTCCTGAGAGTCCTGCACCCCTCCCTGAGGAAAATCCTGGATCCACCCCTGCCGTAGCTATCCTGTTTGGTCTAGGCACATAGGGATGACGCCACTCAAACGACAAAGTTTAGTCAAATGTATTGCTTTGAGATTCATACTATACTGATAGGTTATCACTGGACATGAACACACTGTTCAAGAGTGTATTGTTGGCATTGAAACAAATGGGATAGGCTCATAGATCTTATACAGTGTAATCGCTCGGAAGTGGGAAGGGGGAGGAGCTCAAATGTCTTTCTTAGGTTGGCTGTGTATGGAATAAGCTTTTGGTGTCTTATAGAGCTTCTTGTCTCCCTTACATAGCCTTCATTACCTTATTTTAGTATCTTTTTTTAATTTTTTAGCTTAACATGATATTAGGCATTTTTCAAAGAGTATTACTAGCCTCCTTTGCAAGCTACTCGACGGAAACAGGCTTTTTTCTCTTCTTCGTCTTCCTGTGTTCATAATCTTGACTGAGAAGAACAGGTGTCGAGAGATTAGGAACAACGATTAAGAGGAGAGAGAACTCCTCCTGCTTTTCCTTCCTTTCTAACCCCCTCCCACTACAGCAACCTTTTGTTTTTGCCTTAACACAGGAATCCCATGGAGTAGAGATGCCTGCGAGGGATACTAGAGTATTACATATCTATGATTTGTTTTCTTTGTTTCAGAATATACCATTTTGGATTGTATTTTCAATGAAACATCCAACACATTCTATGTACTTGATGTWATGTGCTGGCGTGGTCATCCTGTGTTTGACAGTGAGGTAAGCTAGTAATGCAACGTTACTTTCAATGAGATAAATAGGTCTCTGATGTACATGTACCGTATAATTGCGATGCATTGTAGGATATGTTTGGAGAGATTCCTATAAAGCTTGTATTTTAAAGGCCCACGTGTATCCAAGAGCCTTTGCGCGATTGTCACACATACGAGAATTTGCCATCTTTGATTTTGAATCAATCAGAGAGAAAGTTAAAAAAAAAAAAAAAAAAAAAAAGATCATTTTCAAACCAAAGCAAGCTATCGCCAATGTCCTCGTAAATATATGGGCCTGTAAATAATCGTATGAGGGAGTGGCTGATCCCATTAAAGAGTGCTCAATACGCATATATAGTGTAGGGCTAATTATATATATAATATCAAAGAGGTCTGTAAATATATTCGCTAAATCTCTCTAAATTACATTTTTTTTAACAGGCAGAATTTCGTTTTTATTGGCTTCACGCCTATTGTGTAATTTACTGTCCATATAGGTCGATGGTCTGCTTTTTTATCATAAGCGTGCTCATTATACACACGGACGGTCTCCCCTTGTTGGATGGCTCAAGGTCTACATGCTGTCAGAAATCTTAAACATTCCTATAGACAACGAACTCAAAGTAAAGGCGCCTCGTGTTAACAAATTGACTTTAATGAAAAATAACCTTGACTTGAAAGACACAACTGATGATAAAACTGTCGAAGAAAGAGCCGAAGTTGAAAGGCAGAAAGCRCAAGAGCAAAAAGTAAGCATGGAAGTTGACAAACAGCAAAGGTGTAAGGAAGGATATTCGAACAACTATGAACAAAGTAATGACCTTGCGTCAGATAGTACCACTACAGGAAGTCCAATGGAAGTGGGATCGAAGAATTCACGAAGAAGAAGGAAAAAGAAACCAAAAGATAAAGATATGGAAGTAAATTRAGTATTTTTGAAGGTGAAAACATTAAAAAAATAGTTCTAAATGATAGTATGTTGTGTAGATTAGACCATGAAAATACAAAGGAATTCACATAATTCCGTAAWTTTTTTTCGTCAAATTGTCGCAAAAACTGTGCTTGCATTCAGAGTCGMARTTCGAGCAGAGTAAATTATTATTGACAACGAATAAAAGAAAAGGAACGTAAAGCGCTGGTTCACTAAAAGGTGTTCATCGTAATTTTCGGAACGCTCAGGTCCACGAATCTTATAGCAAAAGCAGAGTTCTTGGCTTATGCATACTAGTTTTACAAGTTCAGAAATKGATACGCCAAATACCACTCCAAGCAACCAAAAAACTAACAAAACGTTATAAATGAGTYGAAAACTGACAATAACAATGCTGAAAGTAATAAGCTCTCACTACAGCGGTTTGTCACAACTACCAAGGGCAACCTTTCTTCATGTTGACAGAATTGCCAAAAATTCTCACAGTACTAGACMACAATTCCCAACTAGTAGACTATAGGTTAAGCTACACTGCTAAAGTACATAGTGACTATTATTGAGGGTTATGAGTATACTGTATGGGGTTAAAAAGAGGTTTGGATTGAATCATTGATATCTCAACAGCACAAATCTTTTATGTGGATGTTTTTGGGATGATGCASCACACATCAGGTCCAGGTGTAATAAACATTGCATGTATGCGCTCTATTGAGCGTCTAGTTTATTTGATTGATGTCATTAAACCCGCTAACAAAACTTTACTATTACAGCTTAGTGCGATAGTCGAATAGACACAACTGAAGAAAACGATGCAAATGAGAGCGTACTAACTAGGTGTATTAGTGTSAGGTCAGTAAACCCGTGAAACAACAAAACTGGACTATTTTAATTTTAAAAAGAAACAATACAATAGGCCCTTTGCAGCTGGGGTCACGTGACCACACCTACCTTAAATCAATCAGCTAAAAAAWTGATGTTCAGAAATGGAAAGAGCAGGTTTATGTTGGTAAAATGGCAAARTCTCAAGTCTCAACTCTAAATACTTCAAAAATGACAGCAAATGTAAAATATTGTTTTTTTCTAAAGAAAGTATGGGAAAATAGAACTGGAGAGCAAGCCTTGCTTATGAAAAGAAAAGAAAAAGTGTCATTGTTCTTTAAAAAAACGACACAGCTTATCAGAGAATTCCATCTCCGAGAGATTTGAAGACCTATATC